CCCCAAAACCCCAAAACCCCAAAACCCCAAAACCCCATGTGGCTAATTAAACGAATTTAGCACATTTTAAGTAATAAATCAGTAAATTAGTTTCAAATTTATATTTTAGAGAAATGAATAAGTTTGAATACCTTGAGGCATAAATTAGGATTGATAATGATTACTTTGACAATCTAATAGCTTCATTATATGATGAAATTAGTGAAAAATGCATTTAAGAAAAAGTTTATGAGCTGCAAATAGCAATAAGAATATACATAGATTTGGTTATTAAGTAAAATCATTTGAGTGCACTTCAATTAGAAGGTATGGTTATCTATAACTTATTCAACTAACTAAATTAATGACATATTGTCTAATCTTTACTCTAGGCAATTTTAAATTGATAGATATCTCAGATACTACGAAGCTGAAAGAATTCATAGAGGCATAAGAATTAAAAAGTACTTATTATGAAACTATAGAACATATAATAAGTTCTGTGAACGAAGAATTTGACTTAAATTAATAGTCTTTAAAACCAGAAATCATGCATCCTGCTATTTTTTCAGTACCAAATGAAGAAATGATTATTGAAACAGAAATCAAACAATCTATGAAACCTAAAGTTTTTATGGAACTTGAAGATCCTATTTTTTCAGAAGAGGAAAAGCAAAGTTTAGAAATGTATGGTAAGGCAATTTTCGATGTTAAATGGTATTACGAGGATATGTCTTTTAATCGAAGAAAGTATAATCAATACATTAGTTACCAAGATTTAGAGGAGTTCAGTGATTGTATCTTTGAAACAGAGTATTTAAACTTAAGCTACAATTTATTAGGAAAAAAAGAAGAAATATAGATTTTAATGCGCCCATTTGATTAATAAACCTAGTTAGAAATTGAGATGAACTATTAAGATTTTTTGAATAATAAAAAATAACTAAATGTGTGCATTCCTCATTAAGGATCAAGTTATTAACTAGAATTCAGTGAAAAAATTACATGAAAATATGTCTTTAGAAACTCTTAAGACAAATCATCATTGTATTTGAAGCGTATATGGTTTATTGATTGGCCTAGCAAAAATGAATATAGCTATAAATTAGATCATAAAATCGACTAATTAATACAAGAAAAATTTTGCAAAAATTAAGCCAAAATGGAATTTTCCTATCAATAAATAAGAAATTTCAAAATGAATAATTAATAAGGAGATCAGGTCATCAAATTCGAGTAAGTAGATGATGACTTAACAGCTTTGATAATTAAAAAAGAAGATAAAAGCAAAGCTAAGTGTGGATTTAGATGTTATTTATAAGACTCTAATGAAAAAAGATATCGCTTATAATGTATTGTGAAACAAAAGAAATGGGACTACATTCATGCATTTTTTGAAGCTAAATAATTGGCAGTTGATGATTGGAATATCTAGCTAACTATCTTAGAAATAGACCTGATTCCTGAGAATATTTCAAAGTATCTAGAAAATTCATTCGTACATCTTATAAATTCATAAACCCCTACAAGAATGAAAAAGATTAAGTTAAATATGATGTAAGCAATAACAATATAGTAAGAGTTTAAAAGATTTATAACAGAGTTCTCTATGATAAATTTCATTTGGAACTAATGAAAACATATAGGAAATATCGGCTAATGAAATTCAATGATATTGTTAAATTCCTGTTTCATGGAACATCCAAGACAGAACCATCTATGATATTCTAAGGGGAAGATGGTTTTGACAACAGATTTTCTGGGAATGATAATTACGGTTTTGGATCTTATTTCTCATAAAATTCGCAGATTTCTCATTAGTATGCTTATACTAAAGGAGATAAAGAATATCAAATATTTGTAGCATTGGTCATAGTAGGAGAAACATTAAAATGCTCACAAAAAATGAAAGACTTAAGACTACCTCCTTTAAAGCCAAATAGTAATATAGATAGATATGATTCCATCTACGATAATACTTTGAGCAATTATATAGTCTATGACAATAATAAATCTTATCCAGGATATTTAATCACCTATAGACTACCATGAAATACAATAAAAAAGAATTTTTAAATGTATATATTTTGATAATCTCATTAA